CTTTCACAGGCTAATAAATGTCATGGTGACCTAAATATTCTTGTTTTAAACTAATCTTTGACAAATGATGTTATACGCCTCCCCTGTAGCGTAACAGATCTAATCTTAAGCAGTACAATATTATTGAGTGGATGGGTAATCGCTGTAGTTATGGTTATTTTAACAAGCCTATATTTCTACCGTGCACAAATTTAATATTTGTATCTTCATTTGACAAAAGTTTTAGATGTAAAATATCGCTCAAACTAAAAAACACGTTTCATAAATTATACCATAGGTCGGAAATGATAGATATAACAGCATCATTTTTATAAAATATTCAAAGAAAAGTAAATACATATGTCAGAACGAATATGCTATGAGTACGACCAATATATATATATATATATATATATATAATATATATATATATATATATATATATATATATATATATATATATATATATATATATATATATATATATTATATATATATATATATATATATATATATATATATATATATATATATATATATATATATATATATATATATATATATATATATATACGGAGATGTAAAAATAATAAGGTACTCACATATGAAACTTCCACCTCCTCCAAAACCCCCATAACCACCATACCCGCCGTAGGGGCTTCCAAGGATATATCCGGAGGCCATACCGATTGTTGAAACTAATGCAATTATGCAGAGTACTACCAGGGTGTTCATGGCTACAAAATAAAGAACATAGTAAATAAACAAAATATTGTATGGCTCTTTTAGTTAAATGGAAAATAGTGTTTCGTATATGCAGTCATCTATCATTATTGTTCTTTTATATTTAGCTTAGCAATAAAGATAGCAATAAATAAATTAAAATAAATTGTCTAAATAAGTATATGACAAGGTACAAAGTCATTGGTCCAAATCGGTATCGGGTAACACACTTGAAATAGACTTACCTGTTCTTGTACTAAGTGTACTTATAGTTCGTGAGTAGAAACGAGACTCGTGAACATAATCTCAACAACTTCAGTATATATTCGAACTACAGGATATATTGGATAGCATGACCTTAAAATCTTATATAATTTCTAGTTATTTCCGCAACATGAACCGGAAGGACGTGCTTCGTAAATATATCAATCTTACTCTTGGGAAATGAATGCTGTCAGATATGTAACAGTGCAAAATCTGCCCTTGGCTAAATATGTAACAGAAGGAGCCGTATCCTCTCTCACATGTTTGTCCACACACTTGGATATTTATTTATTTCTAATTCAATGAAAAGGAGTTCAAACGTACACAAACATGCCGCTAGCAGAGGAATGCTCAAATCTACGTTCCTTTGTTATCAGAGACAAAGTCTGAAAAGAAACGTTCTATAACTAAGAGAAAAAAATCCCTTAGAAGTAGGTATTACACGCTTTGAAAACGTTTAATATGACAAGCAATTACAAAGTTGTGTGCACATTTTAAATTTCAAAGCAGGGAATTTGATGTAATGGGAGTAGGCATAAAGAAATAAAAACTATTTCTGAGACAGAAAGAGCTACCAATGTGTGCAGGGATATGTGGAAAATATTTATGATAACTTATGCTTTTGGAAAGGGAATCATCATACCTTTAGTATTTTAAAAATCGTATCAAAAATATACCTTTCAAAGAAACAACAAAAGCTAGTAATATGGTGTTTCTAGTTTTGGACGTGACAAAGAGTTTTCTGATGTATATTTAATTTATATTATTTGTTTAACCATTGTCTGTAACTAAAAGTATTATTTCATGATATTTGTAATTATAAATAAATTTCTTACTGATGTTTTAGTTCTAGGTTTATCCTGATCTATTCTGTTTTAGGGTTTTAGATAAGGTTGAGTTAAACAAAATTATGAATTGCAGTTTAGTTCAGTCTTTGGAATCATTTACTTATGTGTTCAGGTATAGTTTGAGAGGAAACGTGTTTAAATTGTTCATCCAATAGCAAAGTGCTCATTGTTTCGATTGTGAATTACATGACAGATATTCTGCTTAATATCATGGTACATTAACCTATTCAAAATTATTGATACAACAACACATTCAATATTGGAATTAATGCGGAACACCTTTGGACTTTTTGTAGAATCTTAAGGATTTTCTGAAATAAAATACACAATTTATTAAGTACCCATCCAATATTCTCTTTATAACATTAATAAAAAGCTTAATTTACTGACTTTAAAAATGCTGATGTTTTCCAAATTTATCTTAGTTTAAGGTCATTATTCTTAATACTAATGATGGTGTGATATAGTGTTTTAATTTATATTAAACATTTCAAATTTATTAAATATTCGACCTAAACCTAAAATAATTTTATCGGACTGTTCGTTGTCGCTGGTAGCGAGTTCAGTTTCAAATGTCTAGTTCAAGAATGTTTTGGAACCTACCCAAAAATCTTTAGGTTTTGGAATAGGACGAAGTGCTTGAGTGTGCAAGATCTTTTGATCTTTCTAAAATTATAGACAATGTAACAAACGAAATAGTAATTACTAATTTTGGTCAATATTTGGTGGTAGGTCAGGGTTTGTTTGACAATGCATTGGGTGTTATTTGCAAGTTTGTGTCTGGGTTTAGATAGCAGATTATTTGACAATAAATAAAACCTAGTTGGAATTTGAACTAACAGCGCTTCACTTCCAGAATGAGAAGATAACATGTAACACAAGCCCATATTCATATAGAAGAAAGGAAATGCAGGAAGACACGGACATATTACAGGGTATTGCAGTAGATGTTAATAAAATCAGAAATTTCACGCGAGAAACAATCCACTGCACACATGGCCATTCAAGCTCTGGTATTTTTATTTTTAGAAGCATAGGCTTTCACCAATGTCAATGGAAAGAGGAGATAACTACAAAAAACGCTAACTAAGATGCGCTTACGGCATATACTTTAAGGTATTTAGAGTTAGTAATTGAGGCATATCGGTAGCTTTTTAGGACATGAAAAGTAAAAACAGGACTATTCCCTTTATAATTTAGAAGATGAAAATAACATCTATGTAAAATGTGGAGTGCAGCCATAAAGGTTGATCAAGACTATGGTAGCCTCAAACAAATCAGCATAGTTGACGAGAGATAACATAACACTATGAAGAAGAGATATACATTTTGAAACATTCTGCTCCAGCAGCTGTACAGCTGTTGATTATTTGTTGATTCACAAAGTATCTTTTGTCAATAAGTCTTTCATCATCCAGTATCTGGTAAAAGAAATCATCTTTGTCTCAAACTAATACTAACATCTTTCAGTCGAGCATTCACAATTAATAATATCGAAAATGAAATCCATATTTATAATGATATCAATAATGAGAACTTTGTATAGCACCTAAACCTTAGGAACTCGAAGCGCTTTACATCATTAGGCAAACGTATATGATGATATGATTCCGGAAAAAACTCTATGAAATTAGAAAATGGAAAACATGCGGAAATACTTAATATGATAACATATCATTATGCCCTTAAATCTGTTCTTTAGTTATAACGTAATTTTGTCATTCAAAGGGGTAATGTAATAAAACAATCATGAGAATTGTGTTGTTCTTTTCCTTTAGCTGACACACCGATTGTTTAGTATTTGCTGATGTAACCTTTGCTCCTGATATTGACTAATCATTAAATATTCTTCAAGTGATCAAGATTTTACTTATTATTTTCATTTTTTCACGAGCCTGACAAACAACACTCAAGATTTCCAGAGGACATTCTTAAAAGGAATATTAAGATTAAAACCATAGCATCAGTTTTAATTCTTTTTTGTTTCCGAAATCTGACAAGTGGGATCATGTGTGAATTTTCCGACAACGTATGTATTAATTATGTCTTTTTTAAGTAAGTTTAATTATTTTAAATATTTAATTAATTTAAGTCTCATGCAGTTTACTCTAAAAGTCAAGTGCTTTGCAACGATGTCATCAAACGTCAGACAGTATGACTCAGTCACATTGTGTTGATAGAGAAAACGATCGGGATGCAGGTGTTTATTCGCTGTTGTTTGCTATTAGGATCAGTTCAAAAACCACTAAGATTCAATCTTTTGAACTATGTTTCGTAAATACTATACGTGGACCATTGCCGATGTCTTAAATCGTTTTTGAACTAAAGATACCGAAAGTAGTCTTCTGGATTTTATTTATAATTTCTAATATCTTTATCAAAGTTTTATCAAATAGAAAGAACCAATCAAAGCTCTACTCCTTGCAGAATTGAAATGAAGGTAAATGACGAACAACATATCATTAATTCTAAATGGAAACTGAAACAAAATGCACTTAGTCATATGAACATCTCAAACTAGTAATCTATTGCATACAACCTAGTCAATTATTAGATGAGTTTAGTTGTACATGTCGCAAACAGTGAAGATGTAAAGAACAAAAAATGTAGTCTGACTGAGATGACATTATTTAGCCATTCTTCTGAATTAATAAATATCGACTAAAACAAATAAAATGTTAATATGACGACCCATATTCCAACTCAAAAGAGCTATCTTGTTGTCGAGATTTTAGATTATACACCTGTGAAAAAGCATCATATAGGATAATCTCAATAAAGTTTTAATTCCTGCTAGAAAATTGTTTCATCCAGCCAAGTAAATGTAATTGATGTTCACCCGATATTCTTGTCTCTAAACTAGATAATACATTCTGAGTGTGCACTGATATAAAAATGAATAATATGGCTAAAACAGATTCATATCCAAAGCAAAGGAGATGTATATGCATTTACATAACTGAAAGGGTGTGTTTAATTTCGATTTTTAAGAAAGCTTTACATATTGTTCAGTCATATCGCTACGATGTCGGCATTGTGACAGATTATAGTGATATATATCACTAGGGCACCATTCCTAAGACATGTGTCATTATGTTCTATCCAAAGCCGGCCAGTCCTAACACTAACCACTGAATGTTGAGTGTTATGAAAGGCGGCTATTAGTGCCATTTTTTGTCTTTGTTATTACTCGGCTTGGGTTCAGATCCGAGACCCTCCGCATCCGAAGCGGACGCTCTAACCACTACACCACCGCAAAGATATAAGTTGGTAATAAAAGTTTTCCCTCAAGATTCCAACGTTTAATAAATATGACCACACATGATCTAGATACGTGTAACAATTGCATAGAAGACTTTATCAGCTACAAAAATACCTGAAAGATTGCTTTGCAACCAGTGCAACCTTTCTTGGTAGACTTAGTGGTGCAAATTTAACCATTAATGTATTTAGCAATGCAATTTACCTTGCTTCCGTTACATTTCTAGGACTCATTATGGGACATGGTCAAGTCATGTTTGTAGAAGTTTCATTGTTTTGTCAAATGTCCGGAGGATTTTCATTAATTACAGTCCGCACGTGATAATGCATGGATTCTTTCACCTCCATATTTCTCTCAGTTATTTACAATGTCTGGTGATGCAAACAATCTGGTGGTGGGAAGTGTATTGAATGAGGAAGACCTAATCGGTCTTGATCATCTAATTGCTATTTGTCTAAAAAGGTTAAGTTCAAAATAGCTCTAAATAAGTGTTTCCAAAATCGTGAAGTAGTTTGACTTTGACATTGATTTTCTACCACGTTAAGGTGAATATTGATTCAGATAGTTTTCGATTGTTGTATTTAGTGATCACATACTTCAACAAACGAAAACTTAGATATAATTAAGATGGATTTGGTAATTCAGAAAAAAGTTTCATTAGTCACATTCAGTGGAATGAAAACCTGCTTCAACTTGCACTTTCACATGTATAGAAGTACTATGAGCAGAAGTATTATCACTTTCACAAAGCATGCATAAACAATGTATGGTATGGGAGCTCTATTCAAAATATCTCCGGTTGCCATACATTTTCTCGTCAATGCTTGAATCCGTTTTCTGTAAGTCAGAATTTTCAATCAGAAAAGGAGAGTCTATGCTATATATGGCGGTATATATTGTGAGCCACATTGCACACTGTTTGCCTCGAATGAGAAAGTATTATCAATATGCATACTCCACCATGGATCTGCATTTGTTTGATAACTGAGATCACGTGTTATCAGTACACATCCGATTGACACAGTCACGGAAAATTAAGGGATTGTCTATGTTGCATTTTTCGGATTGCAGATCAGCAACTTGACACGGGAGTTTGATTAATATTGACAAGAATAAAAGTCGGTATACAACTATACACCAGGTGTCGTTGTTTCAACGACGTTGCATGTCAGTGGGTATACAGTACTGTTGTGGGCAGTTTTGTAAGAAGTCGTAATATTGTGAACCTATATTGTGAATTGTTTAAACGTACATGGCCAGAACTTTCGCAACAAAATAAAAATGTAACATTGCACTTCCTATATCTAAGTGATCGGAAAATCATCTTATTAGATTTTTCATTAATTGTAATACTATATTCCCTACCAGATAGTCCTATTAAATTTATCAAATACAAGAAATCTCATTCAAATTGTGATAAGTTTGTTGACCAAATAGCTGCAAATGGATCAATTATCTCTGCAATTAGATTTGTCGACGAAAGCAAGTCATGTGCATTACTATTTTCTAATATGGTGTGGTTCTTTAAAATTCGCAACAACGATAATATGTATGATGTTTGAAGGACATTTATTGTTAGCTGACATGCATGTTTTCTAGACATCTTGCAAATGCAATATAGAAATAAATATAGGAATATATGTGCAACCATTATATGAAAGAAGACACATGTATGATACCTATAAAATAAATCCAAAGTATTCAGAATGGTCTGGAGCACATTCCAGAATTTCAAGGAAGGATCTAGATTCGCAGGAAGGACACGATTAAGAGAGTGACATGTTTTGATTTTGTTTCGCAGGAAAACGGTTCAAAAGTTTCCTTGTTGACTATGGCGTATTTCAGGACCACACCTTGTCTGTGTGGCTCTTTCTTGGAGTAATTGATTAATCTTTCACTGCTTTGGATAGAGGTTTTGCAAGGTTTAACATTTCTGCTGTTCAATTGTCTTGACGTTTATAGGATCTTTCAACTCACATCACCACTGCAATGGCTAATGCACATCATTATGTATGTATGTATGTATGTATGTATGTATGTATGTATGTATGTATGTATGTATGTATGTATGTATGTATGTATGTATGTATGTATGTATGTATGTATGTATGTATGTATGTATGTATGCATGTTTATATATATGACTATAATCTTATGAATCTTTACTGTCATTATGTGGCAAGAGAAGGGCGATCAACATGTTTTGTAAAACGTGAAAAATAATGCATTGATGTCCATCTTGCTGTACCTTTTAACACCATTTCTCAGGACAAGACAGTAAAGGTTGTGATGATAAATTAATGGTTCTTAAATACCTCAGTTTTTTGTCATCTAACCATAGTTTGAGGAAAACTTATTGCACATGGATGATTGAGAGCTGATCCACATATCCTCTAAATCTGCATGTTGGAGGAAATGGAGCTTGTCCGGCACAGATAGTACGTGTACGGAAGAAAAGCAGTTTGATTTTATCAATGTATGGCAACAAATGGACATCTTTATTAAAGAAGATTTGATACATAACATAATGCATCATTTAAGAATTTACCTATCAAGAGTTTTGGCATTTGTCTTAACAGCTCTTGAAACTAGAGTTTCACCAGGAGATCAGAAAACATTATCAGAGACAGGAAATACATATCGTACGCAAATTTAAAGATAATGAAGGAAGTATCTCCATAAAAGGAACTGAAAGGTAAAGAAATGGTCTAAATAAAAAAATAAACGAATTTGTACAGTTTTTATGGCTTGACATTTAAGATTGTTTATAACAAAATATCCAAGAAGCATTCCATTTCCAATATCTAATCTACCGGAATAATTCTGACTTTGACTCTATTGCAGGTTTATGAAGAAATCGGTTTTCCTAATTGCCCCTACCAACATTAGCTATTCGTACGGCGGCAACCTTTGTCAGATGGCATCAGCTTAGGTTACAAAGGACCGTGTAATTATTATTTGCTGTCATACCTCTTCTCCAAACCGATTTCACCAGAAATATAGTAGTAACTGTCTCAGTACATAGTAAAATATTGTATGTAAAGGTATACATCTGTGAATACGTTTATACGTTACTCCAAAGTATCACAAAACATTTTGTATTGCGGTATTATTTTACGTACTGCGATATGTAGCATAGCATAACACAGTTCTTTTATGGACCAAAATTCAATATTGTGGGCTACTCACTTACTCTTTTTTTTAATTTCTCTCAACGAATAGTTCAAAAACACCGTATTTTGTTCCATAACAAAATTTTGCCATACTAAATCCATAATATTATTTGCAAAAGAAAAACATTAATTTCCACTAGATAAAAGAAAGCAAATTAGTTCAGCTCAAAAGACAAAGAACCACTAATTCTTATTGGAGACGAATTTGGATGTCGATGCTAATTTTGTAGAAATTGTAATATATAAGTTATAGCGTGTGTGAGACGATTAAGCTTACGTTTTGGCGGATACTGTTAAAAACTGCTGGCATTCGATGGCCTAGTGATGAGAATCGTATGTGTTAATACTGACTCCAACAATTTAATACCTATTCCAGGCATAATTGCCAGGGATATCATGGGTGGAAGAATAACGCCTTGGTAAAATATCTATCAGAGAGGGACGGAAAACATAGAACATATTTTCTCAACAAACGAGAAAGTTTTGTGTACTTATGTGAAGTTCATACAAAACGAGTTACACCCCTGAAAATCATAGGATGGAACATAGCCATACATGGGAGTACATATAGGTAACACATTCGCATACATTAGTAAATAATGTAGGTATCAAATATGGTTTTGATTCGAAAGTTTTCAGAAAGTCTGTTATGGACGGGATGTTTCACAAAATTCCATTTCTCAAACATATTATAAATATATAAAAAATATGTCATTGGAGTCTTGCACCTACTGGGCGGAAGACATGCGTTTGATTTGACTCATGAATCATTAGGTACAAAGCAAGGCTGTATTTTCCAAGGGTCAGAGAGTCGGCGATATGAAAAGGAGAGTTGTTGAAGCTTTGCAATAAAATATTTGTAAACAGTATTTAGGATTCCTAAAATTACCTAAAATTAAAATTAATTCGATTGTCTTAGATGAGTGAGGAATATGTACACTTTGTACTTAATTTGTTTACGTTGAATTAAATACTGGTTGAATGCCATAAGAATGCCTGCAACTCCATATCTACACAAATATTATTTAATGTTAACAATGGTTAAATGAAACCAACCATGTTTCGATTTTGGGTATACTTGGTTAAATCAAGGTTTTGCACAAAATGACTAGAAAAGGTTAGTTCATAATATCCCAGGTGCGCCAGCAGGAGCTACAAATAAGACAGGATATGTTGTCTACTAAAAGGAAGAACAAATGAGTATTTGCACCATCACGTGCAGCCCAAGTACCTCCACTGAGTCAAATGCTCCATACAGGACATAGAACAAAACTGTAAGTACCCAAGGAAGAAAATATGTACACAACGTAAAGAGTCTATTTTGAAGATGTCATGGTGAGTATCAATAAAAATGTATCAGTTGAAAATTTCATACCTTAAACCCTCTGGTTGTTACAAGACGAAAGTTTCGCAATGGTCAAACAATGAATTAACCACATTGTAACAATCCATATGTGCCAGTTTATACATGCAGAGCAGCGAGAAATACAAAGCTGGTGGAATAATTTCCTCGTGTAACATAGCGAGAAAACTGTACATACATCATGAATTTTATAGGAAATATTGGTTTAGTTGTTTTTAAGTTGTTCATTTTTAGCAAACGAATTTACAATGACATCTGTAGGATGTTTGGAAATGGTTAATGTAAACCATCTTATTCCTTCATTGTACACCATAATTATCAGATGCACTGTGACTGCTGAGTGTTGTTACAATATATGATGAAATAAATCAGAACATCTTCTCTAAGTACAGGTACAGAGTATACATAAGCAACAACCTCTGTAATGGCCAGAATATTCAAAATATGCAGAAAGCTATTGCAATGCACGGACCTAGTAATATTGCAAACGGATAAGCAAAGCAAGCCCTGTACGTTTGCCTCAAAATAGTATCAACTTTGAAGCCTGAGTTGGTTTGGAGAACTCAGTCTAAATTTGTCCTGCTTTTGGTACAAAATACACGCAAGAGCCTCAGCGACAAGGCTATTCATATCAGGTATATGGCAAGGTTGAATAACGAACATAGCATATTAATATCCGAACAAATGTCATTATAATATGTGTTTTGTTAATGCTGTCCATTGTTGCAAATTATCGCAGTTTTCCAGGATTCCTTATTTGGTCCACTGATTTTCCCATACCACAGCAAAGACTATAAGGGGATATAGTTTAAATAGATGTTCTGCAATCGATGCGGAATTTTCATACAAAATGAGATGTTGGGAATAATGTCCTTGAAACAACTTATTATTGAAATAGCCTGCGATAGCTGTTGGGGTAGCCTACAACGTAGACAACTTGGCACGAAAATTTCCAGTGTCACAACAAACTATAATAGTTTTCTTGTAGCAAAAGACTATTGCCAATAGTTGATCTGGCCTCCATGATGGTAAAGTCTAAAATAATACCCAAATATAGAAGCTGTTTCAACTTCTTCAGTTGATGAGAGGGGAAAATTGTGTTTCTTAAAGACCAGTGAGAGAACTGATTTTGTTCTTTCAGGTTCACCATCTAAAGGATCGATTTCAAGAAAGTTGTCGAACAAATGCAGACCATAGGGAACATCATAGATGTTCTGTAAAACCTAGTTAATTACCTTAGAGGAAGAAGCAAAGATTTTGGGGCAAAACCTAATGCCTAAAAGCAATCATGTATATAATAAAATGTATTGTCCCACTTCACACCATGATAAGGCCAATATTAATCCTTGATGGGTACCACCTTAAAAGCATCTTTTATATCTGCTTCACATATACAGTTACCAATACCGAGTTTTTATTGATACTGTTAGCATGCTAACACGTAATAGAGGAGATCAAATATTCATATATGTATATCAGAGCTTAAATACTTGCGTTTAAAGGAGTGGAATGAAATGCAGACAGACCTACTACAATCGCATTTTACCAGATCTCTCTCTCTCTCTCTCTCTCTCTCTCTCTCTCTCTCTCTCTCTCTCTCTCTCTCTCTCTGTGACGTTCTTACAACTTCAAAACGCACAATTAGGACAACATTAATACTTAATTAAAATATATAGCTGCTCCTGTGTGAGCTCGTCTAGGACTAAATATAAATATGCAATAAGATTGTGATTCACTCCGGTGGCCTAGTGGTTAGAGTGTACGCCACGGATGCGGAAGGTCGTGGGTTCGATCACCATTCGAGTCATATCAAAGACTTACAAAAATGGTACTAACAGTTGCCTCGCTTGACGCTCAGCAATAAGAGGTTAGTGTTAGGACTAGTCGGCCTGGTGTGATGCCCAAGTGCAAGACATTACTATAAACTGCCACACTGCAGACATCGTAGCGATATGACTGAAAAATTGTTATAGATACGTTTAAAATCATAAACACCACCACAACACCACAAGACTATTGTAAATCCCAATCGGTGCCAGGCTTATCCTTTCTTTACAGTGTACTTTGGGTTGATCCAAACCCAATTATTATTGATGTTCGATTGTTATTATCTAAGATTTGCACAGGTGCATCCTTTCAGCTGACTTTGTGATTAAGACAACTGATTGATTGGTGGTTCGCATCAGCTATGATCAAGCATATACGTGGAATCTACATCTCTGGCTAAATACACTTTTTGTAAATTCTAAAGGATGATTCAAATAAAATAATTCTCTCTAAATTATATATAAAGACAAAAGAAAAGTATTCCACAGAATGAACTTAAAATTGAAACAAACTATTGAACTTTCAACATGCACTTTAATCTGAATCACTTCTAGATAACTATAATGCTTCGTAAATCTGTTTTTTGAAGCGAACATATTCTAATCCAAATTAACATTTTCGTAACAATTAGGTTAGTAAAATAATGTCCACTTCTGAACGTGATTTGGGTCGAAATATCAACGACAATGTAACTGCTATGACAAGAGGAAACAGTGAAATAAGTACAATATAGCTGCATACTTGGTCAAATATTTATATGGAGCTTTAATATCCATTTTTGTCTTTTATCATTTTTCATTTGAACTGTTGGGATAGCATTCAAATATAAATAGATCTGCATAAATATACCTATATCAAATTTCTTTTTATTGACAATTAGGTATATTTATAGTAATTTGTGGTTCCATGCCATTTTAAATTTTAATAAACTTAATTCCTTTAACATGCAGTAGCATTATTTATAATTTTCTTTTGTTTCAATGGCTGGAAACAGACGTTAGAGGATGATTAGTTTGATATTCAAATGAGTGTTAGCCACATATGTTTGCGTGTTTATTTCAATATAATTATCTTTGGAATAAATAACCACCCAAATATGGTTTAAACAAATAAGAAGGATAGCGCTTGTTTAGTCATGTTTGCACTTCTGTGCAATAATATGCCTTGAGTGGTTGTAAAATTTATTAGACAGCATTAGTGGCGAAAGGGTAAAATAAATTTGATAAGCATGTCCTTCCGGTCACTGTTACGAAACTATTTAGAAATTGAATAATAGGTTATGACCGTGATGTCCAATATGTTGTGCATATATAAACTGCTCGTAGTCATACTTTCGAGCAGGACTGTCATTTCTAGCGCCGAAATTAAAGTCTTCGTCTGAAACAATAGCAGGTACATGTATTGCAAATCTAGTATGCATTACTAGTTTAGACAATGGACATTTTAAAGTAACTGTCGAGAGATTTCTTAAAGTGTCAAACAAATATTTAATTATATATTTTTTAGACTATAGCGTCTGCACCATACTGTTTGCTGAAAGCGTGAACTGCTTAGTTTTGCCAATTTACCTCATTTACGCAGAAACCAGACACCTCAGAAATACAATTCAACAAATTTTGTCCTCTCGGTATTGTAACAGTGAATTCAAAGGTTTGGGCAAACGACCTCTTTATTCACTTATTTCGTTATTTTTATAGGCATGAACAAACTGTTTCTGCTCTGTATAATTGCATTAATTGCAACCATCGGTATGGCCTCCGGATACCTCATCGGAAGTCCCTACGGTGGGTTTGGTGGTTATGGAGGAGGAGGAAGCGGACTTTACCGTGAGTACCTTATAAATAGTTACCTATCATTTTACCTGTACATCTCTGTAGAAATAATGGCAATGTAACAATCTTATAGCATTATCTACTGTTCCGGGAGCCTTAAAATTTCATGAGGATAATGAGATGACGACTCTTAGATTCCATTTTATATAATTAATTTATAGTTTCTTTCAACGATGTTTTGTTTGTAACAATTTGCGAAATACACGGCAGAATAAAAACAGGGGTGCAATGCAGAAATCATTTGATATTCTTAACTTACCACAGTATCAGTATTTAATTAATCATACAATAACATTGCCATGGTTAATAATAGATGAAATTGCAAAAAAATGAAGATAAGATTCTCTCAATTGATTACTTTTCAGTTCTCAAATCCACGGGTTGTATTTTTAATCTTTTTATTCAGAAAAGTTTGGTCAAATGAAATACAGACAGTTGCTGCTCCTAGAAAAATAAGAGAAACACCAAACTATTTGATGTTAATAGAAGGGTGAAAGTGTTTGCAATGATATATATATATATATATATATATATATATATATATATATATATATATATATATATATATATATATATGTATATGTATAAAGAATACAAATCATATGGCGAATAACAACCCTCTCAAGCGTACTGGATCCACCAAGGGATCACGTTTGTCAGGGATTAATTAAAATAGATGCAATAAACTGACGACGAACAACACGAAACTAGTAACTAACTAGCCTAAGCGCTTTCGACTCTTAATGAGTCTTTTTCAAAGGCAAATACAAAACATAGTTACGACAAACAAATAAACACAAAAACGTTGTGTTTGTAAACCTCTACATTTCTGTCTTCACATGTGCTAACACTATAAATACAACCAGCCTGTATAGACTAGTTGCGGAAACTGAAAACGTTGTATAATTCACTAAAAGTCTACAAGCCAAAGCGACATCTATTTTTTCTTTGTATACATATGTAAAGCAGATTATATCCCGGATATTTGATTCTATACCGGTTATTCTTATAGTAAAAATTGAAGGATATTAAGATTTAGAAAATGTTAAATTCTACTAGTGCATAGTTTTCATTTTCTAGTCTTCTTGGTTTAGACCTCTTGGTTTCAATGTTCTAAGGCGGCGTATCCAGTATGACAGAAATGTAGAGGTTTACAAACACAACGTTTTTGTGTTTATTTGTTTGTCGTAACTATGTTTTGTATTTGCCTTTGAAAAAGACTCATTAAGAGTCGAAAGCGCTTAGGCTAGTTAGTTACTAGTTTCGTACTGTTCGTCGTCAGTTTATTGCAACTATATATATATATATATATATATATATATATATATATATATATATATATATATATATATATATATATATATATATATATATATATATATATATATATATATATATATATATACATACATATACATATACATATATGTATATATGTATATACATATATATATATATATATATATATATATATATATATATATATATATATATATATAAATATATATATATATATATATATATATATATATATATATATATATATATATATATATATATATACACATATATATATATATATATATACATATATATATATATATATATATATATATATATATATATATATATATATATATATATATATATATATATATATATATATATATATAAAGATAGATAGATAGACAGAAAAAGAGATATATAATGGATTGTTTCGACTAAGGGCTCCCATCTACTTAAAAAGATGTGAACTTTCACGCTTACTTAAATAGGTTAGATTTCTAAATCATAATTTCAACTGGAAAGAACAGTTAGGTACCACATTCCAAGACTGATGAAGTATCAGACATTTGACAGTGTGAGGTATGGGAGACTGCATGTACACATCATATTTCCATCAATAGAGTAATTTGCGCAGTGAAAAGAACAAAGCCTTGCTGTCTGTATCCCTTTACTCTTTATTGGTTTAGATAAGTTTGTATTACACCAATTTCTTTTGTACCCTCTTCATTGTCCTTTTTATCATTACTTATTATGTCTTTGCAGTTATCTTCCTGATCATCATCCTCATAATATTCCTTCAACGCACCAATGTCAAGTAGAAAGAAGATCAGAAAACTACGAGAGTATGTATCCTTATTGACTAAAGAAAATATCCAATATTTACAACTGATATAAATTCAAATCTATTGCATGAGTTGACGACATGAAATATCCAGAATATTTAACTATTTATGTCCTTAACGCTTTGAAACGTTGGTCAATTATAAAAATGTTTAAAATGTGTTCCATTTGTAAAATTGCTTTTTATAACTTACTTGAGAGAGCAATAAGAAAGAAAGATGGAGACACATTTAGTAGACCATGTTTTGGGAGATTCGAAAATGATAAAGGAGAATCATTGAGATTGAAAAAGTATGTTGTGATATTATCAAAAATGCTTTTCTCGTAATTTGGGCTCAAAGTTGCACTGATATGAGTATATGTGAATTTTTGAGAAGATTCACTGTTACCATTATGTTTGGTATAGGATGTGCTTCGATTTTTACAGGAGTACCAGACGACATATATTGGTGAAGGTGTTCAGTTGGTGAACGCTGAGGAAAGAAGATTACATCATAAAACAAAAGTATTTAGTTAAATTATAGATGACAAATATTACTAATATATAAGAGGTATATTTTAAATAAATTATATTTGTAATGCAAATTTTTTTTTGCTATCTTTTATTTAGAATCGTGATGTCTTTCTTCGTATGTTATCGATGGCTCATTATATACAAGTATCTACCTCTTTTCCTGTCTTTCTCTCTCTCTCTCTCTCTCTCAGATTATCTCTCCATTTTTGTGACATTTTCATGTTACTCTAAAGCATGGATAAGAATCAATATAAAGAGACAGAAAATGTAAAATCTCTCTCTCTCTCTCTCTCTCTCTCTCTCTCTCTCTCTCTCTCTCTCTCTCTCTCTCTCTCTATTCATATGACAGTCTGCCTGAGTGACATTTATTTCCTTTTAAACAGTTACTGCAATGGCTTTTTTAAAGTGAGGATAATTACACGATCACATAAGAGAGATATACTGAAACACATAGGAATTAGGACTCGTAATGCTGTTGTGCCTACCATAACTGAAATAGGGAACATT